GCCCTGTTGGTCCCGCCCCGCCCAAGCCCTGCGCAGAGCCATTTGCCAGATCGCCTCAGGCAAAGGCTAGATTAGCACCTCCCCAGAGGACAGAAGTTTTCCGCGGCAGACACAGCTGATTCACACAGCCAGTCGGCCTGGTGGTCAAATCCCTCTAGTATTAACTACAACAATCAAGGCTCAACTAGAACAAGACTGCGCACAAAGACCACTAGGGGGTGCACCAAGAAAGCATAAAAAATGCGGAGACAAAAAAACATGACAGAAATGGAGGATATAGAGCTAAAAATCGCAATTTTGAGGGCTTGCAAAAATGTGCTAGAAGCTGTCAATAAACTTGAGGAGAGAGTCACGAAAACTAATGAGACCCTCGATGCTATGATAAAGAACCAACTAGAAATTAAGCATACACGGACTGAAATAAAGAATATTATACAGACACCCAATAGCAGACCAGAGGAGCGCAAGAATCAAGTCAAAGATTTGAAATGCGAAGAAGCAAAAAACACCCAACCGGAAAAGCAAAATGAAAAAAGAATCCGAAAATACGAAGATAGTGTAAGGAGCCTCTGGGACAGCTTCAAGCGTACCAACATCCGAATTATAGGGGTGCCAGAAGAAGAGAGAGAGCAAGATATTGAAAACCTATTTGAAGAAATAATGACAGAAAACTTCCCCTACCTGGTGAAAGAAATAGACTTACAAGTCCAGGAAGCGCAGAGAACCCCAAACAAAAGGAATCCAAAGAGGACCACACCAAGACACATCATAATTAAAATGCCAAGAGCAAAAGACAAAGAGAGAATCTTAAAAGCAGCAAGAGAAAGAGACTCAATTACCTACAAGGGAATACCCATACGACTGTCAGCTGATTTCTCAACAGAAACTTTGCAGGCCAGAAGGGAGTGGCAAGAAATATTCAAAGTGATGAATAGCAAGAACCTACAACCAAGATTACTTTATCCAGCAAAGCTATCATTCAGAATTGAAGGTCAGATAAAGAGCTTCACAGATAAGGAAAAGCTAAAGGAGTTCATCACCACTAAACCAGTATTATATGAAATGCTGAAAGGTATCCTTTAAGAGGAGGAAGAAGAAAAAGGTAAAGATACAAATTGTGAACAACAAACATGCATCTATCAACAAGTGAATCTAAGAATCAAGTGAATAAATAATCTGATGTACAGAATGAACTGGTGATTATAATGAATCAGGGACATAGAAAGGGAATGGACTGACTATTCTTGGGGGGGAAAGGGGAGTGGGAGATGCGGGAAGAGACTGGACAAAAATCGTGCACCTATGGATGAGGACAGTGGGTGGGGAGTGAGGGCGGAGGGTGGGGCGGGAACTGAGAGGAGGGGAGTTATGGGGGGGAAAAAGAGGAACAAATGTAATAAACTGAACAATAAAGATTTAATTAAAAAAAAAATCACCCTACTCAGGGAGAGAGCAGAAATCCAGTGAGTGCTTTTCCAGCCACACCCAAGGACAAATGAAGAGACTAAATCTCATTTTGATACATCAGCATAAAGCTGATGACTATTCTATCGATCCTCCCCTAAAACCTCCCAGCCTTTAAAACCCCTCAAAACACAGGCCCTAGTATGTACTCTCCTTCCCAGGAGCACTCCCACTCCCCTCTTGTTCCCCCACCAGCATGCACTTCCTAAACTCTAAGGGACCCCACGAGGCTTGCGGCCAGGGCAGCAATGGGCAGTGGCAGTTGGTCTCAGGCTACCCTCCGAACCTGTCCCCAAAGCCCCCTTTTCTCTCACTTCTTAGTGAGCCAAAGCAGCGAGGCTCACTCCCCGCCCTTCCTTGTGTGAGGCCCCAGCGCTAGCAAACGTCCTCTCACAGTCACCGGACCCGTGATGTGACATCTTCCCTGCACCGAGCCAAGAACACTCGCGGGCAGCCGGCTCTAGGCAGACCCCTCAGGGCCAGGTCCCCTTTCCAGTAACAAAATGAATTTTTCAAGAGACTGTAAACTTGGTGATTTAATTAGACATTCCTAATGGTATTATCCTAAGGACAAAAATACCCACAAAAAGTTTTTTAAATGTTTTTTAGTAATCAGATTATTTTGATACCATGTTGTTATTTTGA